GGGCGGGTGGGGTGGGCGGCACTCACGATGTCCGGCGTGGTGCCAATCTTCTTGGCCAGCTCGCCACGCTCCATGGTGCTGAGGTACAGGTAGCGGTTGAGCAGCTCCCCGTCAAGGACGTTCCGCACAGCATTCTGCAGAATTCGCCGGTCCACGTGCAGCATTCTAGGGGGAGGTAGGGGTCAGGGCAGGCCTGTGGGGGGCTGGGGAGGGAGGGAGCGCACTCACCGGAAGGCACGGGGGTTGAGGCCAGCGTGGTGGGGCAGCATAGTGGTCAGTGCATTCTGCAGCATAAGCAGCCGCCGATAGGTCTTTTCCTGCATAGGCAGCAGGAGCCCAATGCCACCGTCCAGTGTGGCTGGGGGGCAGGAGGGTGTGGTATGAGCTAGGCCGACCTGCACACAGCCCCACCCCCACGGCCTCGCTTGCCCCTGCACTCACCAAACCATGTGATGTGCTTGTTCTCCCACACAACCGACTTCTTGCTGGGCCCCTCAGTGGCTCCCCGGCACGGGGTCCTCCAGAACGTGTTCACATGGGCCCCCACATGGAAGTCTGCCCGGCGCAGCAGGCGCATTCCCCCGAAACTCTCCTTGGCTAGGTCAGAGCAACTTCAGTCACTGCCTGCCCATGCCCAGCCCAGACAGAGGGGCGAGGGAGCCACTCACCTTCCGGCAGGTACATGTACACCATGAGGTTGCGGTCCCGGTCAGACACTGGGGAACACAGGCCAGAGTCAGCCCCAGCCACCGCTAGAGTCTTGTGTCCCTGCCCCCAGGTCTCATGCACTCACCTAGGAAGCCCAGCTGGGCATTGTCCACCATGAAGTCCACGCTGTACACCTCCAAGGGCTTGGCATCCTGGGGAGGGGAGGGAAGGGCATCAGGGTTGGCCCTGGGCCAGTGCCCACCACAGACACAGGTGCCCAGGCCATGTGGTACCCGGGACACGAGGCTCAGGGTCTTGCTCTCCTCTTGGTAGCGCAGCAACGAGATGCTCTTCATGACGTCGGCAGCGAGGATGAAGTTCTTGACGCTGATCATCTGGTGGATGTACAGCTGGGTGTCGATGAACGCCATGCCCGTCAGCTCGCTGGCCCGCAGGCTCCACAGGAAGATCTGGGGGTGGGGTGCGGTAAGCCAGGGGCAGACAGCACAGGTGGGGGGGGGCAGGGGCAGGTAGGCACACCTTCTGGCCGATGGCCGACACCAGGTGGCCGTTGCAGTGGCACAGGGCGGTCACAGGCCCCTTCTGCTCCTTTTCATAGAGGACCTTGAACTTGTTCTTGGTCAAGGGCTGGCCTGGCTCAGGCACCACCTCAATCACGTCCATGATCAGGATCTGACAGGAGAGGCACACGTGGGGATGGCAGAGGGGATGCTGGGTGCTGCCTGCCCCCTGCCCACCAGCCTCTTACCCGCCCACGGCACGTGACCTCCTCCCCCTGCATGAGGCAGGTCCCAGCGGCCACGTAGCCCTTGAGGCCTGACACAGTCTCCTCGCTGCGCAGCGACACCGTTTTCATGCACGTCACGTGCTCCCACTCCTCCAGCTCGATCCTGCAGCGAGGCCAGGCGGCGTCAGGGTGCCACCCCTGGCCAGCGATGACAGCCCCCGCCCAGGCCCAGCCTCACCTGGCGTTAGGAATGGCCTCCCAGCTGACTGGGGAGATGAGCTGGATGGAGAAGGCCTCCTGCTGGGGGTGAATGTACCGATCATCTGCAGGGCCAAAGGGGTGACAGTTACAATGGGGCTGCCCCAAGAAGGAGCCCCCAGATGCGGGTGTCAGCTCAGATGTCACTCACCTCTCTCAATAGTCTCAAACTCCTTCTCCTCGCCAGTCATGCGTGGGATGCGGGTGCACGGCGTGTTGGTACTGGTGGCGACGGCATACACCTGGGGGTTAGAGGGTGTCACACACCAAAGGTCAGGCCCAGGAGGTCCCTGGTACAGTATTGGGGTGGGACACAGACCTTGGACTCCACATGGTAAGCCACATAGTGGGCTGTACAGCGCAGCGGGATCTTCCTGACAGGCCACGGGGCGTCGTAGGACAGGTAGGCAGGCAGGACGCTGATCCTCAGCTCACCCTGCAGGGGGTGGGGGCAGAGCAGGGTCAGAGAGGCCGGGGCCGGCAGGATGGACAGACCCGGGCTGCTGAGGGCTCCCGGGGACACGGCCCTCGGTGCTGATGGGGCAGGCAGGCGATGCCCTGGAAGGGGCCACAGCCGTGGCGCCCAGGGCTTCTTGGTCAGTGAACTCCTGCCATTCTCCCAGGCTCCCAAGGCTGGGGGATGTTGGCCACTGGGCACGGGAGGGCCAGGCCGAGAGGACGCTGAAGGCTGCAGGCAGAAGGTGACCACAGATAGGCCACGTTGGGGACTGCAAAAATAGGCAGAGGGAGCTCCAATAGTCCTGAGTCTACCAGTACCTGGAGGCACTCCCCATGCCACAGTCCTAGGTGACCCAGGTGGTCACTGCTATCACCTTGGTGGCACAGATGAGGAAAACAAGGCTTAGAGAGTGTGTGCCTTCCCAAAGTCATGCAGCAATTGAGGGGCACGGTGGAGTTCAAGCCAGCTCGGCCTGACTCCTGAGGAAGGGCTGAAGCTAAGCCGGAGCCAGGGCCTGCTGGGTGAGCCCATCAGCCAGGCTGTGTGCTCCCAGCCGCCTCCGCCTCCAGGTGTCCCCACCACCAAGCCTGGTCCCACCATGTGGCCCTGGCTCCTCCAGCCTCTGCATGCGCCTCCCTGGGCCTGCAGCTGGAGCTAAGTTCCCTCCTGTCCTCTACCCAGCTGCCCAGGGCCTCATTTCTGGGGCACCAGTGCTCAGTCCGGCCCAGGACAGCATCAGGACAGTGGTCATGTGGGCTGGTGGGGGTGGGTCAGGGAGCACTGGAGGGAACCAGGCTGGTCCTTCCTACCTGTCTGTTGAAGTACAGGAAGCCACGGGGGCAGTTGACGTTGTGGAATGGGGCAAAGGAGTCTATGGGGCCGTCGATGCCCATGGGGTGCAGCCGCAGGGCCCCCCGGCCGGTCACCAGGAGCCAGTGGGGCGAGGGGCCACAGATGAACACCTGGAGGCAGGGACTGTGAGGATGCTGTGGGCCAGGTCCCATCTGCCCTCTCCCCTGGACACTCGCAAAGCCACTTGCATACCCCTGAATAGCCATAAATATCCTCAAAGTAGCGGAAACGTGCCACGCGGCCACGGGCCCCAGCCCCCTCCTCGGTGCTGCCACCTTCTGCCTTCTTCTTGGATGGCTTTGGTTTCTTCTCACGGAAGTTGATGTTGTGGGGGACCTGTGGGGGTGCCACCATAAAGGCCAGGTCATCCAGAAGCTGCTGGCCTGGACCTCTACCAACTCCTGCGTCACACGCCCTCCCCACGCCCCAGCAGGGTCCAGCCGCCAGCACCTTCTTGAAGCGGACTTTGAGGTTGCCCTGGCCAAGCTGAGAGTCATGGGGGAAGGCCTCGTAGATGAGCAGCTCCTGGTCCACGTGCACCTGGGGGCACAGGGCAGGGCCATGGAGGACGAGGGCAGGGCTGTGGGGGGTGCATGGCGGAGGCGGTGGGGTGGACAGGTGGCCATCAGCTGCACTCACCAGCAGATAGGGCCTGCTCTGGCGGCTCCCCAGTGCAACCAGCAGCACCTCCTTGACAAGGGGCAGCTCTCCCTGGCGCGTGGCCTCCTCTTTGCGGGCCTCGCCCTGCGTGGTGGGCTGCCCGAAGGAGCTGTCCACCAGGACCCGCTGCCCCACAGGAAAGTTCTTCACCAGGAACACCAGCCGCCAGTCAGGGAGCTGATAGATCTGGGGGGGTGGGCAACAGTGAGCTGGGATGGGGCAGGGGACCAGCTGTGCCACAGCCCAGGATGCCACCTACCTCCATGGTTCCGTTCTCCCTCACGAGCAGGCACCAGTGGGTGGGCTCTGCCCGGAAGGGTGTGGGGTCCCGGTCGGCAGGGGGCTGGCTGCTCCTTCGGGTCTCCTCCTTGCTGGGACTGAAGAGGGAGCCTGAGTCCCCATACAGCATCTCCTCCTCATCATCTACTGTGGGGCTGGGGGCCAGCAGATGTGTCACAGGTGGCCTGCCACAGGGCTACAGGGCCCAGGCCCCCACCTGTACCCCAGCCCCCCATGCACCTCGTCTCTGAGCCCAGACCCTCCGCCTCCAAGCCACTGCGGGCCCCCAGCTCATCACGGGCCCCTCCCAGGCGACTCTCGGTGGTGAACATGCCACTGACATCACGGTACAGGCAGAGTGTAATCACCTTGGACTGCTGTGGGGAGAGGGGCGGGCTCAGTGGCGGGTCAGGGGACAGCAGGCATAGGGGTTGGGGGGCCTACATGGTGTGGGGGGGCCTACATGGTGTAGGGGGGGCTTGTGCAGTGCCAGGCGGTGGTGGCGGCCACTGTATGAGTCGCTCTTGAGCAGGAACATGGTGACGTGGCCCTCAGCACTCATGATGACCACGTAGGGGTCGGCCACAGCACACTGCACGATGGGGGCACCCAGGTCCACAGGGATGAAATGCAGCTGGTTCACTGTGGGCACAGGGCAGTCAGTACACACCGCCCAGGGCCCATCCACCCAGGCTAGCCCAGACACCCACCTCCTTCCAGCAAGCGGATGCCCAGGGGTGACACTTGGACAATGTAGCGATTGTCCCCGATGTTTCCAGCAAAGACC